CTCGAGATTAATTCCAGTAGTGTATTGAAAATTTGCTCATTTTGACTGCTCCGAAGTATGTTAGCACAATAGTCTAACCATTCACCTGCTTCAAGACTTCTGCTTGGCTTCCAACTCCTGGCTATCAAGAATAAAACTACTATGAACATTTGTGTATATACTTTTACGTAAACCTAAAGACTCATTTCTTTGGGATAAATGCCCAAAAGTGAAAATGCTGGGTCATAGGGTGGTTGCCTATTTAGTTTTCTAAGAACCCCCCCCCAAAGCATTTTTCCAGAACTGAGATTTTATTTTTTTTTATTTAAAAAAATTTTTTTTAATTTATTTATGATAGTCACAGAGAGAGAGAGAGAGGCAGAGACACAGGCAGAGGGAGAAGCAGGCTCCATGCACCGGGAGCCCGATGTGGGATTCGATCCAGGGTCTCCAGGATCGCGCCCTGGGCCAAAGGCAGGCGCCAAACCGTTGCGCCACCCAGGGATCCCCAGAACTGAGATTTTAAAACACAAATTAACTTCACCAAAATCAACTCAGTTCACCTTCTCTCCACTCCTGTTAGCTATCACATCTGCTCTGTGCTGCTGCGGTCACTGGTGAGCCCTCACCAGGCAGCCACTACGCTTCCCGTGGGGCTTCTGCACAGGTCACCCGTAGGACAAATGTTTATTAAGGGTTGCTATAAGCCATGGAGCTACGTTAGTTATTTCCACATTGTTGATATTTGGACTGCTTTTCTGAATTATGAATACATAGCAAGAATTATTAATCTGCAAAAAATCTAAATGTATCATGGAAAAGCAAATCTAACTTGCAACATTTTATTCTATGAAAACAGACTCAGTCAGATGAGAGAATAGTAGTCCAAAGGAAGCAGCAGAAAGCAAGTGGCCTGTAATATATCCCAGTAAGACTAAGCTTGAACCACAACCCTAATAAAAATATTTAAAAAGAGGGGCGCCTGGGTGGCTCAGCGGTTGAGCGTCTGCCTTCAGCTCAGGGCATTATCCTGGGGTCCCAGGATCGAGTCCCACATTGGGCTTCCTGCATGGAGCCTGCTTCTCCCTCTACCTGTGTCTCTGCCTCTCTCTCTTTCTCTATCTCTCATGAATAAATAAATAAAATCTTTGAAAAAAAATATTTAAAAAGAGCTGGTCAGAATGATCAAGAAAATTACAATGCATCTCAAATACCAATAGCACCACTTCTCACTAATCACCTAAGATTATAAAATAATTTGGAGCAAATTTACATACTCTAAAAGGATGCATACTCAGCTTTGTAAATAAATGATCTTCAGTGATCACATATGGCAAACAAGAAAATGGCCCTTGGACAGCAAATTCATTTTCTTGTTTAAACTACGGGCTACTGGGACGCCTGGGTGGCTCAGCAGTTGAGCATCTGCCTTCGGCTCAGGGTGGGATCCCGGAATACAGGATCGAGTTCCACATTGGACTCCCTGTGAAGAGCCTGCTTCTCCCTCTGCCTATATCTCTGCCTCTCTCTGTGTCTCTCGTGAATAAATAAATCTTGAAAAAATAGGGGTTACATTGTCACTTTCTTCATCCCATTAACATTCAATGAGAAAAGAAAAAATATTAAATTTCAGCTGGACATCACTTTCTCGAGACATCTGAAAATTGCAGAAGTTACAAGCCACTTCTGAATTTCCAATTACAATTTATAACAGAATCACCTTTAAAGAACCTTGGGAAAATATCAAAAGGGATTTAATAGAGCATAAAATGGTGAGAAATAATGTTTAAAAGTTAGAACACAGACAAGGCTCCCTAACAAACACCTGTCCACCTTGATTTCACCATTATTTCGTTAATGCTGCAAATAAGCACCACAAAATCAGCATCAACTTACCCTAAATAATAGAGCAGAGAGGGAAGCTGGTTGTTTCAGACAAAACTGACAAGTGTTGGAGCAGCAGGAATCTGAAGGAATCTCCTCCTTTAGGGGACCCAACCTGCTTCACTATGTGTAGACTGCTGTCAAACCACTATTGGCCTTTAATTTCAAACCCCTTCGCTGGGAACAGAAATCAAATCTTTTTCTCCCAGGACCTGGCTAAGATAAGAAGCATCCAATATATTATACGTAGCCTAGAAAATCCTAATTCTCATGAAGGTTCAATCACCCCTTTGATGTCACCCTTTTGTAAGACATACATGCATTTAATACTAGGATGGTGATGTCTACACATCTTTCAAAACTGCACAAGGTTAATCAACTTAATGACAAGATGTAACCAAAGGGCGAATCCAAGGAAGTAGAAACCCAAGCTTCCTGGAAAGGGAATTATTCCTCTGGGCCATAAAAGGTGACACTAGGAGGAATTGGGGAAGAGGATGAGGTAAATAAGTGGGAGTTGACGCAGCCTGAAGAACACTTTTTAAGATTTTATTTATTTGAGAGAATGCACACAAGGAAGGGGAGCAGCAGAGAGACAGGAAAAAAGAAGCAGGTTCCCCGCCCAGCAGGGAGCCAGACTTGGGGCTCAAACCCAAGGTCCTGGGAACAAGACATGAGCCTCCTGAGCCGAAGGCAGATGCCCAACCAACTGAGCCACCCAGGCGACCCCCAAAGAAAACTTGTAAAGCCTCTTTCAAAAGAACATTTCCGGGGATCCCTGGGTGGCGCAGCGGTTTGGCGCCTGCCTTTGGCCCGGGGCGCGATCCTGGAGACCCGGGATCGAATCCCACGTCGGGCTCCCGGTGCATGGAGCCTGCTTCTCCCTCTGCCTATGTCTCTGCCCTTCTCTCTCTCTCTCTCTGTGACTATCATAAATAAATAAATAAATAAAAATTTAAAAAAAAAAAAAAAAAAAAAAAAAAAAAAAAAAAAAAACAAAAGAACATTTCCAAGCCCCACATCTTGCTGAAGCCTACAGACTGACAAGCCTACTACTTACCCAGGGAAGAGGCTTATAGACTTATAGAAAGCTTTCTTCATCATTGCTTCCAGTGTCCCCACCTGGGGGGGGGGGGGACTTATGCAGAGAACATGAAAATGAGCACCAAATAAGGGATATCAAAATATTGCAGCCACTCTTGACAATGTAGTTGACAGGTAGAATTTAAGAAAACTAGAAACAGCCTTAGATTCCTCAGTCCTCCTAATACGGGCCTCAAAACAAAAACCCAAAAACAACCACCCTCTAAAATATATTAGAAGGGGCTAAAGAAAGGAATATTTGCCTACAGGCACTAGACAAGTTCAAGCAAAAAAAAAAACAAAAACAAAAACAAAAAAAACAAAAACAAACAAACAACAAAAACTGTAAGCGATTAGGCACCACTCTGCTCCAGAAAGTGTGATTCCTAGGCCTGCCCAAGCTCTAGGAGTAGGGAAACTCTGATATACTGCACCGGGTGCTGGCAAGGCCAACAAGCCTGGCAATAACTGCCAGCCTCCAATCAACTCCAAACACTAGGACCTGCAGAGATTCCATTCACAAATCCAGGGACCAAGATCTACTCACATGGCCAACAAACAGCTCAGGAGCAAAGACCCCCACAATTAGGGACAGTAGCACCTGCCAGTACTAGGGGCTTGTTTTCCCCCCTTTCCAGCTATTAATGAGCTTCTGGTTGCCACACTTCATTCACAGCCTGACTGGCTGCTGTTACCTACATCCCACGACACCACACACAAAGCATCACACCACAAAGCGTAGTGGCAGCAGTGTGAGCAATCCGCAGATATTCCCAACCCCAGTATCCGAGAAAAACTGAGTCTGAAGCCCTAAATTTGAGTCGCAACTCTGGGTGGCACCTTAGGTTTTCCTGTTGAACCCAAATATGTCACAAGGCCACTCACTTTAAAGACAGAATCCTAAACAATCAAAAAGATTCAAAATCACTGAAATACCTGAGTCCAGAAAAGGAAGAATTCTCAGGGAAACTGACACTCCCTTACTTCCATCAGGTCCCGTCAGCAGAATCCCAAGTAACGGATCAACCAATTTTGGAAATACTGAGAAGAGATGGCTTATCTGCCCAAATTAACTGGAGGAGGGCAAGCAGATCACTGTACAACCCAGATAATTCATCCAGGCGCAGGATTAACTGGAGCAAAACTTCAACTCAGTCACTCACTCAAGTATATGAGGAAATAAAGTAGAAAACCTTTTTAATCTCTCACGTTTGGGTCACAATCCTTCAAGTTTTGGCGTACCTACATATCGGACCAGATCACCATTTTGAGGAAAGATGCAAATCTTAAGCATTCTGATGAAAATTCATCATCATTGAAACACCTGAACTAAAAAAACGGAAAGCTTAAACCCTCCGCCAAAAGGAGTCCTGATATGGGGGGAGGCCTGGCGGACTACTGATTTGAGAACCCCATGCACCGACAAAGGCCTCCTGTGCAATCAGCGTGGGAATGGGGTTTCAGGGAGTAGGTCCGCGTCTCCATGCCATGTAAGGACAAAGGCAGCGACGTTTCCCGCCTCGGGAACCTGGGACTCTCCTGGAACCCGGGACGGGGACTGGGACAAAGACTGGAAAGGAACGAGGAGGGGGTCGCCCCATCCGCGCCGGCCAGGATGCTACCGGCCAAGGGGGGTGTGTGCTCCTAGCACGTGCGCGCGTGCGCGCGGGGCGCCGCAACAGACAAAGCCGGGCCCGGGGGATTCGGCGGCCGGGGGCCCGGTGCGCGCGCACCCCCCGCGCGAGGCGCCGCTGCCGGCCGAGGGGCCGCGAGGAGGGGGGGCGGATGCGCGCGCACCGGGCCCTCGCCGCCGCCGCCGCCATTTTGTTTCCTCGGCACAATGGGGGAGAGTAACGGCCGAGCGCGGGAGCGAGCCTGGCGAAGGAGAAATGAACCAGGCGCTGGAGCGAGAGAACCGGCCGTAGGCGGGAAGCGTGGGGCGCCTCAGGCCTTGTCACCGAAACCCCTCAGTCCGGCCCGCGCTGAGTGGGAGGACTGGCGGGGGGAGGGGCAGAGGCGGGAGCGGGCCCGGCCGCCGCCACATTGACGCTTACCTTGTCGGCGTTCCCTTCCCCGACCGCAACCGCCGCCGCCGCCCTCCTTCCACAGCCCGCCGGGGTGTCCCCCCAAAAGCCACGCGGTGCGCACCGGGCTGCTGAGTCCAACTGCAATGGCGAGAAGAGGAGGAGGAGGAGCCGGGGCCGGGGGCGAGCGGGCGGGCGGGCGCGCGCCGGGGAGGTGCGGGCCACGTGATCGGTTGAAGCCCCGCCCCCTGCCGCCGCGTTGCCGCTTGACGCAGGCCCAGCGGCGGAGGGAGGGAGCGACGAAAAGAGATAAGGTGGGCTTCAGTCACGTGGCCGGAGTGCAGCCGTTGCGTTCCTGGTCACGTGGGGTCGAAACGTTTATCTCTTCGAGGCCCTGATCATGTGACAGTGGCTATTGCACAGCCTTCCTTGGCCACGTGACAAGGACTTTGGCGCTTCCCTTTGCTGTATTGGTAGACTGTGTCATGTGACTTCTTCGCCGCTCTTTTTTTTCAATGGCGGTTTTGAGCGGCGTAGCCACGTGATTCGGGTCGAGGGGCGGAGTCTCCCCAGCTGCGAACCTGTGCGCCTGCGCGGCTGCCATCTTACGCCGGTTGCTCCTGTGTACGTTGGCGGAAACGGCTCAGAGAGCCTGGCACGTGAGTATCCTATTAGCGGCCGGATTACGGTCTTGTTCGGGGAGGTTCGTCCTCTGTCCGAGGTTTCCTGGCAGAGCTTCGTCCCCTCGCCTTGCATTTCTTGCTAGAGACCGAGAAGACCCGAGGTGCAGGTGTCAGCCGCGGCGGGACAGCTCTTGTTGCTGCCCCGGGATCGGCGCTGGTGAGCGCTCCAGTTCTTAGGTCCCACCAACCCCCAGTGTAGGGTCCGGTCGTCTTGCCGGGCTGGGCCTTCGAAGGGCAGAGCCGAGCTGCTCGGGATCGTTTAGTCTCTCTTTCACAGGTGGGGAAGCTGAGGCCCAGTTGGAGGATTCATATCCTGCCTGTGAGAGCCGGATCTGCGAGTCACACGCTCGGCCAACCACAGTCGGCGTGGTTGAATAAAGCCACCGGGGACCGAGCGCCTTCTCTTTTTCGAGCCCATTGTTGAGTCCTCCCGGGCGTTTCGTGAGATCCCCGATGTACAGAACGATTTGTGCCTAAAGTAAGCCACGCTCCCCTCCAGTATCAGAATCAAGCTGGCGCTTGATAGGCGTCTTTATTAGGCACGTTGTCATGAGCGAGGCTGTTGTTCAGAAACTGCCGGGACTCGGAACGAGGAATTAAAAGGTTTCCTTCCTGAAAGTGAGAAGTCGTTCAAGACTTTCGGCGTAGGGATGGATTTTCCTAGCGAAAACGTAGGGACGTAAGCTCCTTTGTTAAGGATGCAAGACCCAGTATCTGCTCTAGGTTTGAGTTCCCCCGGTGCGACCAAAACCAGCCCACTTCTGAGTCTCCTTTTCCTTACTTACAAAATGGTGACGATTTTTCTTTAAAGCTCTTAGCACAATTCTGTGTGCAGAATAAATGCCTCAAAATGGTAACTTATTAAAAAGGTAAGATGTAAAAATATAGTTACAGAAATGGATGCATACTATATCTACCGGTTTTCTTTTCTATTTACGTTTTATTTGGAATTTTGAACATCTAATGTGTTCTCCTGATACAAAATGTTAAATGTGCAAGAGTGTGAGAGGACAAAATCGATTTCCTCCTCCTTGGCAGCCAGTGTTGGATTTTTTTGCTCTACAACGATGTTTTTATCTCTACAACGATGTTTTATTCACAGAGACGTGTTTTTTTTTTTCTTTTTTTGCTGATTTTCACACAAATGGTAGATACTCTGCATCTTGCTCCCCCCACACACACACTTGGACGTTTTTCCAAAATAGAGCTTGAAGCTGAAGAAAGTTTTGGTAAATTTAATGGCCCATGTATTCAGGTAAAATTGGTGAAAGTTTGGATTGTTCCAGGTCGCCCTGACAAGGAGGATGATAACTGACTTTAACGAGGTAGAGGAAAAAAAAAAAAAAAAAACAAGGTAGAGACCAGGGCCGCCTGGGTGGCTCAGTGGTTGGGCGCCTGCCTTTGGCCCAGGGCGCGATCCTGGAGACTTGGGATGGAGTCCCACTTTGGGCTCCCTGCTTGGAGCCTGCTTCTCTCTATGCCTGTTTCTGCGTGTCTGTCTGTCTCTCTCTCTCTCTCTCTCTCTCTCTGTCTCTCATGAATAAATAAAATCTTAAAAAAAAAAAAAAAAAAAACAAGGTAGAGACCAGCAATTATGGACACTCAAGGAACAGGCTCAGCGAGGTGCAATTTGACTAAGCTAACAGCGCTACCAAGTGGCAGAACAAGGAAGGTTTCTAGTTTTCTGACTCCCAAGTCTAGCCGGTTCTTGGGAGGGGCCAAAGATTAGATTTTTGAAGAACTTGTTTGGGGTAAACACAGGGGTAAAAAGGATCATGATTATAAGCAAACACTTTTTTTTTTTAAAGCAAACACTTTAAAATCAAACTAAAATGTTCACAGAGGAGTCCAGGAAAGATTTAGAGTTTTTCAGTCTCAAGGCTTGCATGGAATGAGTGCCAGGGAAGCTGATGTGGTTCTGATTGTGACCTGTTGGACTGGTGGCTCATCCAACCTGGATTTTGTAGTAAGAGCAGCTTGAAGCGTCAAGGAAACCAGACTCCCTTAAGTACATTCTGGGGTCGCCTGGATGGTACAGTCAGGTATCCCACTCGTGGTTTCACTTAGATCAAGGCCGGAGTCAGGGCTCCATGCTCCACAGGGAGTCAGCTTGAAAATTTTATCTGCTCCTCCCCCCATTCATGCATGCACATGCACTTGTTCTCTAATATTTAGTCTTTTTTTTTTTTTTTTTAAAGTATGTTCTGTTGGAGCTACCCCAACCCCACCCACCAGGAGTGGCAGGATAAGAGGTTTTGAGCCCTGTGTTCTGTCCTTGGTCACCTTGCAAGATTGAAGCCCCAAGATGCCACCTACTTCTCGTCCCTTCATCCACAGCTTTTGACTACTGCCCTTGCCTTTCCACCACTATGTATTAACAACCATTCTCTGACTTTCCTGCCCAGACTGACATGCCCTGTCATCTGGCTGTGTTCCCTCTGCCTAGACAAGTTTTGTCTTCATCAGGGACTTTAGTGTTCTCATGAACATGCTCTCCATTCCTTGCCTTCCTCCTCTTCAGAGATTTCTCCCACTTGAGCCCCCCACCCCCAGTCACACTGAGGATCTTTCCCTTCTGAGTCCTTTTTGATGCATACATGTTGCTTTCCTCCACTTTTCAGTGGAGGGGACATGGGTTGACCACAATGCTTTGGGGATCTTACCCTTCTCCTTGCTCAATCTGTAGTTTTTGGTTTTGTTTTGTTTTGTTTTTAAATTTTTATTTATTCATGAGAGACAGGCAGAGGGAGAAGCAGGCCCCATGTAGGGAGCCCAATGCAGGACTTGACCCTGGAACTCCCAAGATCACACGCCCTGGGCTGAAGGCAGACACTAAACCACTGAGCCACCCAGGGATCTCCAAATCTGTAGTTCAGTTGACAAAGCCCTGCTGTCATACTCCAAAACTAGGCCCATGGGTTGGCCAAAGTGATTGGCTTAGAAGCAAGTGACCAAAATCGAGCCAGTGAACCTCAGGCCAGGGGGACTTTGGGGCAAGAGAAGCCCTTGTTTTTCTAATACTAAAGCCAGGGAAAATAGCAAGTGTGGTAGTGGAGGAGCAGGGAGTATACTTGATAGAATGAAACCAACAAGGAAGAAAGTTCATCTAAAAGATGGAACAAGAGGGCAGCCTGGGTAGCTCAGAAGTTTAGCGCCTTCGGCCCAGGGCGTGATCCTGGAGACCTGGGATCAAGTCCCACATCAGGTTCCCTGCATGGAGCCTGCTTCTCCCTCTGCCTGGGTCTCTGCCTCTCTCTGTGTCTCTCATGAAAAATAAAATCTTTAAAATATAAAAGATGGGGATCCCTGGGTGGCGCAGCGGTTTGGCGCCTGCCTTTGGCCCAGGGCGCAATCCTGGAGACCCGGGATCGAATCCCACATCGGGCTCCCGGTGCATGGAGCCTGCTTCTCCCTCTGCCTGTGTCTCTGCCTCTCTTTCTCTCTCTGTGACTATCATAAATAAATAAAAATTAAAAAATAAATAAATAAAATATAAAAGATGGAGCAAGAAAACAACATGGTGTTTTCTCCCAAATTTAAACTGAACATATCCAGCAGTTCCACTCCTGAGTATATGCCCACCAGAAATGAAAGGGACTCAACATATTTGCACGTTCCGGTTTATTATAGCAGCATGATTCACAATAGCCAAAAGGTGGAAATAACCCAAGTGCCTGTCGATGGATGAATGCATAAACAAATTGTGACATATGCAGACAACGGAATCTTAAATATTATTCAACTTTTAAAAATCTATTATTCAACTTTAAAAGAGAAGGAAATTCTGACATATGCTACAACACAGATGAACCTAGAGGATGTTAAGCCAGACACAGAAGGCTAACTACTGTATATAACCACTCATACAAAGTCTCTAGAAGAGATTCGTGGAGGCAGGAAGTAGAAGGTGGGTGCCTTCCAGAGGAGGAGTTTGTGTTTAATGGGGACAGTTTTTGTTTGGGAAGAAGAAATAGTTCTGAAAATGGAGGTGGCAATGGGTGTACAAAAGTGTGAATAATGTAAATGTCACTGAGCTGTATACTTAAATGATTTGGGTGGTAATTTTTATGTGTATTTTACAGCGATGTGTTTTTTTAAGATTTTATTTATTCATGAGATCCACAGAGAGGCAGAGGGAGAAGCAGGCTCCGTGCAGGGAGCCCGATGCAGGGCTCAGTCCCAGAACTGTGGGATCATGCCCTGAGCCAAAGGCAGCCACTCAACCGCTGAGTCACCCAGGCATCCCTACAGTGATATGTTTTTTAAAAGATTTTATTTATGGGGCACCTGAGTGGATCAGTCTGTTAAGTATCTGCCTTCAGCTCAGGTCTTGATCTCGAGGTCCTGGGATTAAGCCCCACATCAGGCTCTTTGCTCAATGGAGAGTCTGCTTCTCTCTCTCTCTCTCTCTCTCTCTCTCTCTCTCTCTCCCCCCTCTGCCCCCCACTCCACTCATGCTCGTGTGGTCTCTCTAAATTTAATTTTATAAATATATTTGAGAGAGGGTGCAAGTGCATGCACGTGTGGGCAGGGGGAGGAGT